TCTGAGGAGGCAAGAACCTGGACCTGAAGGCCATTTCTTTAAGGACTTATAGGTCTTTTCCTATTTAACTCCTGATCCTCATCTCAGGCAGACATATGAGACTGATGGGGAAAAAAATGCCTTCTGCAGACACAAAGCATTTCCATGTTTACCATTTTCCCCATATTTAGGCAAAGACCAAGGTGTAGAATCACAGTTCAGGGGAAAAATGTTTAGATATTTACATGGATAAGACCAAGGGGAAAATACAAATAAATTAGATAGTACGCAGAAACAAAGTAAGGTAATTACCATATTGAGCTAGAAATGGAGTCAGGCAGTGGCCACTCCAACATCTCTGAGTGCAACCAGCTACACGGATATTCAAGCATTGTCTTGTACTGTATACTAGTTGTTTTATGTGTATTGATTTAGTCTTCCAGACTGGAAGCACCTGAGGGCCAGGCCCTCTCTCCTGCTGCTTGTTTCGTCTCTGGTGCTGAGCCAAAGCGAAGGTTCAATATTCAAATTGTATTAAATACTTAATCGCTGACAGACTAAAACAGACTATAGCAGAAAATCAACTCTACATAGTAAGATCACTGTATCTTAAATATGATAAATTTTTAAAAATCATTATAACCAACATTTTACGCTGATAAGATGAATGCTGAAATTCATTGAGGCTGTGGCCATGATTAATTACAAGTTTAATCATGTATTTTAGGGTAAACCTATTTCCTTAACATCTATTTTCTATTAAATTACATGCACTATGCTAATGTTAGGGGCCAAAGTAATTTCTTGGCTGATGAAATCTTTTGGGTTTGATTTTTTTGAAAAGCTACTTTGACAACTTAACAACACTATAAAATAAAATGAATAAGAACTAGCACTATCTTTTCAGGACTATGACAACATAATTAGAGCAGAGTGTCTATAATTATGAAAGAAAATATTCTCAAATTTTTTTTATGAATTTCGTGATGCATAATAAAGGAAAAACCTCTATCTCATTCACTATGCATTTTAACAGTTTAATTTTATTCTACTGTGATAATGAAAAAAGGGATGCCAGATATTTATTCCAAAAAGAAAACTCTCCAAACATGCATCAAGCAAGTTTAATGTCTGTAGCTTTTATTTTAACCTCATAGCTAATTCCGAAAGTCAATAAAAAATGTAAAGGAATATGGCATTTACATTGTAATTAAAGGTCACCTAATATGCAAAATGTCAATGGTAGAATGATGCCCCCAAGTGGCAAAATGGTAAATTGCAATACTGTGATGGAAAAGTTGTTAAGTACTATGTACATACAGCTGTTCCATTTTGTCAAGTTCTTTGATTAAATCTAGAAATGTATATAATGAATCTGTATTTCATAGGAACTAGTCATAAGTCCTACAGACTTTATGGTCTACCCTAGTTATTACTTTAACACTGATACCAAGGGATAGTCTAATATCTTCCTTATGAGCTCAAAAAGTTAGGGGTGTATCTGCAAAACAAAAAGGGAAGTCAGATGTATTCTGATATGTTAAGGGAACAGCATTTAGACCATTATAGAAATCTCTATAAAGTATTCATCTTCTATCCCCCTCTAACATTACCCAATTCCCTATGTTTATGGTCTAGTATGTAAAGCAGAATTTAAAACCTTATCTACTCAAATTGCTTGGACAACGATTAGTGCTAATAATGAGCTTTGCTCACAAACTAAAGGTTCAAGTATCAACACTAAAAAAAAAAAAAAGTTTAGTTTCCTGCCTCCATACATGTATTAAACCTAACAATCACTGATGAGTTGATACCTTAGTTAAAAGGTTCACATTCTGAGAACCAATTTATTTTGAACAGCTGTAGAGATATAAAAGATGACAACAGAATTGTTACAATCTCAAGAAACATCCTTAAATACGTTTTTAAAATTACATGCCTGGTTTCAGATTGCTTTATTTAGGAGATTTTTCTCACTTAAAAGTAATGCCAAAAA